CTAGTTCAGTTCCCTCAATGGCAACCCCTGCCTCTGGACTATAGGCACAGCCTTGAAGAAATCCAAGTTGGACCTGGCAAAAAGCATAGGTTAGAGATGTCATCCTAGCCCCTCACCCAGGAATCACTCCTGTGCAAAAAGGGACAAATGAAACAGGAAAGTAGCCTCTGTTGAGTCAGAGTCTAGTTTCCCAACCATTCTGAGTCCATATAAAACACTGTTCTAGGCCTGACATCATGGGTATAACCTACCTGGCGCCCACTCATGGATTCAGAAGATTTTCCTCCCTCCAACTATTGTGAAACACAGTGTTATAGAAACACGACTCAAGCATAATTTCCTTGGAAGTTTTTCAGAACTATACTCTGGTATTCCAAAGAATTACTTCTGTGAATTATTTTTAACTACATGGGGGGGGGGGGGAGAAGACTATAACCTAAGAAGGAAAATGATTTAAAAATAGAAAACCAGTAGCATCTGCACTCCCTGGGAGCTGGTTAGAAATGCAGGCTCTTGGGCCCATCTGACTACTGTTGAACCAGAATTTGCATTTTAACAAGACCCCTTGGTGAGGTGTATTCTCCTGTCACAAGCATTAGCCTATGAAAGACCACGAGGCTGTCGGAAAAGGAGGTCTACCTGACACAGCCTCTTAGAATGAAGCTTTCTTCTGCATCAGCTGTCTATGACTTCCACCCATAAAAAGTGAAAGACTCTTAACAGGGACCGCTATGCCCCTAAGGGCTAAGAGCAAGCTGCTTCGTAGCCCTTTCTCTTTCCCATTAGCAGCCCATTTCCTTCCGGGGAATTCTCTTCCTCCATTCTACAATGTCTCATGTGGTGTCTGCTAATCACAACAGATGTCAGAAGGCAAGGAACCAGAACTTTTTGTCTATACATCTCACCACGAAGGGGCGGCACATGAGTTAAGACCTAAGTTCTCTACATAAAATAGATAAACAACAAGTTTATACTGTATAGCAAAGGGAACTATATTCAATATCTTGTAGTAACTTATGGTAAAAAAAGAATATGAAAACAAATATATGTATGGTCCTATACGACGGAAATATTGTGCTGTAAACCAGAAATTGACACAACACTGTAAACTGACTATACTCCAACAAAAAAATTTTTTTAAATTTTTTAAAGACCTAAGTTCTCCACCAAGGGCCATTTCTCCACCAGAGGACATGTGTCAACATCCGGAGACATGTTTGGTTGTCACAAATGAGGGTGAAGGTTTGGGGAGGGTGTGGCCAAGATGGCAAAATAGGAAGACCCTGAGTTTACCTCCTCCCATGTTGCACACCAAAATTACAACTATTCATGGAGCAACTATTGATGAGAAAGACCAGAATACTAGCAGAAAAGATTTTCCGCAACTAAAGATGTAAAGGAGGAGCCACAATGAGGTGGGTAGGAGGGGCGGAGTCACAGGAGAGTCAAGACCCCCACTCCCAGGTAGGCGACTCCCAAACAGGAGGATAGTCACAAGTACAGAGGTTCTCCCCCAGAAGTGAGGAGTCTGAGCCCCACATCAGGCTTCTTAGCCTGGGGGGGTCCTGCATCAGAAAGATGAGCACCGAGAATGTCTGGCTTTAAAGACCAGCAGGGCTTGCGCACCCACGGGAGAGCCAGAGGGCCGCAGGAAACAGAGACTCCATTCTTAAAGAGCACACACACAATCTCACATGCTCTGAGTCCTAGCTCAGAAGCAGTCATTTGAAAGGAGCCGGGGTCAGACCCACTTGCTGGTCTTGGAGAGCCTCCTGGAGAGAAGGCAGGAGGCAACTGGGACTCCCTGTAGGGATACAGACACTGTCAGCAGCTACAATTTGGAGCTCAGTCTACCAGGAGGCAAGCACCATTTCAGAATCCCCCATCTCTCCAGGGGCTACCCACCCACCAGCAGGCTGGCACCAGCCCTGAGATCCCCTGGACCGGACAGCCAACTGCCTTGAGACCCAGCCCCACCCACCAACGGGCTGGCAGCCTCCACACAAGGCAGGGCCTGGCAACCAACCAGAGCAGGGCCAGCCACGCCCAGCAGACTGCCCACAACAGTACCACCAGGACCCAGCCTAGATGACCTTCCTGCCTACATGATGCTTTCCGCCCCCCTGACCCTGCAGGGCGCCATCAGTTCCCAATCCTGATACAATTCTAATTCAGAGATCCCAAACCAGATCACCTGTTAGAATCCCCTGAGGAGCGTTTAAAAACAAAATAGCTACTAATAAAGAAACAAGCAGCTTCTTGGGCCTGCCCCAGCTGTGACCTACTGAATCAAAATACCTGGAATGGAAGGGATTGGGAATCTGCATATTAAAGAGCTCACTCGAAGAAGGAAGGGTACAGTTCAGTGGTAGAGAGCATGCCTAGCATGTATGAGGTCCTGGGTTCAATTCCCAGTACCTCCATTAAATAAATAAGCCTAACTGTCTCCTCCATTAACCCTCCGCAGCAGTCAAAAATTCAAATATAACTTGTAGTCGGCCCTCCCCATATACAGTTCCTCTGTCTCCGCATTTCCTCTGTCCCTATGGTCTGATTCAACCAGCCAGCACTATAGAGTTTCCCATCCGAAAAAAATCCACGTATAAGCGGACCCGCGCAGTTCAAACCCATGTGGTTCAAGGGTCAACAGTAATTCTGTTCTAAAACCAGACTAGGCAACCACTAATGGGCTTTCTGTCTCCATGGACTTGCCTATTCTACGTATTGCACATGAATAGAATCATAGAATATGCGGCCTTTTGTGTCTGGCTTCGTTCACTGAGCATAATGTCTTCCAGGTTCATCCATATTGTAGCATATATCACTATTTCACTCCTTTTAAGGCCAAATAATATTCCATTAGATGGCTATGCTACATTTGGCTTACCCATTTATCCACTGATGGACATTTGGGTTGCTTCCACTTGTTGGCTATTACAAATAATGTTTCAATGAACATTCATATACAAGTTTTTATTTGAACCCTTGTCTTCCATTCCTTTAGGTATGTGCCAGCGAGTGGAATTGTTAGGTCATAGGGTGATTCTATGTTTAACTTTTTGAGGAACCACCAAACTTTTTACTTTTTAATGTGACTACTAGAAAACTTGAAATTATATATGTAGCTCATATGGTATTTCTATTGGAGAGTGCTGCTCCAGATATTTCTGCCTAAAAACCTCTCACTTATGTATACCCCACTTTCTTTCAAACAGGATTTGAGGAACTTAATACCGTAAAACTGATTGCCTGAAACTGAAAATCACTGAACCAAGAGTAAAGAAAAAAAAAAACCAAGCAGAGACAAGTAATAAAAGAGAGTCACAGGAAGAGATTAATTTTGTTAAAGAAATCAAGTAACAATAGCTAACATTTATTGAGCGTGCATTTTGTCAGGCTCTGTGCTCAGCATTTCTTTATATACTGACTCTTTCCAGCAATCCTCTGAGGTAGGCAATGTGATAATTTTATTATCCTTATTCATTTTGCACCAAGATAGTAAGCATCAGAGTCTAAGTTCAAACCCAGACCCCACTCCACAACCCAAGTTCTTGGCTTCCTGGTAACCAAAATGAAACACCACCTCTAGACAGAACCTATCACAGGGGCCGGCAACGTAAGTGACGTCCAACAAGTTCTTTCCCTGCCCGAATCATAACAGCTCATCATGAGAGGGAAACTGCCCTGATCTCCAGCTCCACAAGGACTATGCCCCATGGCTTTGTACAAGAAACACTGATACAACACTGTGGATAAATGTCACCAAAAGTGCAGAAGCATTCCACATCACATGAAAAGGAAGAGCATAATGTTAGGTCTTACTTCATTACGTGTAATTCCATAGGGATCTAGGGTGTAGCCAGCTAGGTAACTTTTTCTCAAAGTGGATTGAAAAAGTTGGGAGGAACTCAGACTTTGGTCTTAACTAGGCTTCTAGAACATCACTTCTCTTGTCTGGAAATGTTCTCTTGACAGGCCTCTGCTGCCCTCTGGTGCTTCTGAGCATAAAAGCACCAGCAAAGAATACACTCAAAAGTCCCAGCCCCAAAATCTTGGGGTCTGGGGTCCCAGAGGAGACGCACCTGAGCCCCCCACCAACTCCAATAGGTCTTGAGCTCTCACTGAACACCCTCACCTCGTCTTCAGTATCTGGGCTCTGCCCCTACCCTCACAAATTCCATTTCATTTTCCTGTCCTGGGTGCACTGGCATCCTGGTCCAGGCTGGAGCTGGGGTCCAGGTCGTTGTTGGAAGAAAACAACTCAAGAGCTGTTATCTGATGGGCAGTATGTAGGAACATGATGACAGAGTATGAATGGGAAACTGTGAAAGGGAGAGTATGATGCAGCCAATCCTGACGAGACCCCAGAGTTACCCCTGCCTGTCTGTCTTTTTCTTACTTACCAAACTGTCAGCTGACCCCAAACCACTAGCCTACCACAACTTTATAGGGAGAGAAAGAATATCAAAGTTAGAAGAATTCTGAGGTCAAACAGACCAAGGTTCAAGCTAGCCCTGCCACTTACTCCAGGGCCTCGAGCAAGTTATTTAAACTTGCTGACTCTGTTTCCTCAGCTGAAACACGCAGGAACATCACAGGGCCGCTCAGGATTAAATGAGATAGTGCATGGAAAGTCCTTAGCTCGGCACCTGGGACATGGTGCGCAGTTAAGTGTCCACTGATAACTTTTATGGGGGCTTCCTTCTTTACTTATGCTTGTGAATCTAAATTGGGCTGGCATTCTGTGCACTGATCCCCTGGACAAGAGGGCCCCTTGCCAGGGACATGGGCTGAGCCTCCTGCCCCTCTCATCCACATACCCCACTTACCAATGACGTTGTGCCCCACCGGAGAGCAGTGAAATCCAGAACAGCAACGGGGAGAGGATGCACGGGTCCATGGTGCCACTGGGGCTGAGGGCACCAGAGATTTCTACTGCCAGATGGCCGGGAAAGGGACGGAGAAGGGAGGAGCTGAGACCCCTCTGGCTCTCGTCAAAGAACAGGCCTTGGTTGACCTACACTTGAGGACAGCAAGTTTCGGAGCCCCAGAAATTCCTGCCCACCGCAAGGAGCGATTAAAAGAGGTCATCGAGAGGATGTGACCGCTGGTTGACCCGTGAGCTGGACCTCGGCTACGGGAGGCTCCCCACCCCTTCCCTAGTCCTTGGAATGTACCTTCTGCCCACCAGTTTCACAGTGGGAACTGTTCCAAGGACGTAGCCTTGAGAGAAAAATGTTGTTGAGACTTTGTGCACGGTGTGCACATCTGAACCCAGTTAAGGCATTTCTATAACATTTTCAGCTCCTGGAGGCAGGTGCAGAAATCCGCTCATCTTTGGGCTGCCCAAAATAAACATCGTGTGTCAGTTCCTTTGCTTATTAAAACTGCCACCTGCCGAGGAGAGTGGTCTGCCTCTTTCTTCTTCCTCTCCCTGCCCTCTGTGTGCCCTCTGGAATGAGAGGCTGGTTTCAGATTTCACCCGGGGAAGCTCCCAAGGTCAACCAACGGGAAGCTGGGATCAGAGACGGGGAGGTGTGTGGCTTTTCTACATGATAAGAAGCTAATTTCAGGGTGCAAGGTTAGGGAGTAGGACCAGGGTCCACTGAGGCCTTAAACTCTGAGAGAAAAGGCTCAGGTGGCTTCTTTGGTTTAGGGTACTGAGGTGGGAAGCCCCATAAAAAGACCGGCAGTCCCCCTACGCAGGGCCGCTGCACTCCTCCGAGCACCGTCCAGTTCCCTGGCCCAGAGGCTTTAATCTCACTTTTTGCCTCTAAAGCAGCTAACTTACACCTAGAATTCTATTGGTTCCCTGAGCTCACTTCTGATTGGTTATTTCCTTTACTCCTGATTGGTTATTACTCTCACTCCTGATTGGTTATTACTCTTACTTCTGATTGGTCTACTTCCCTAACTTCTGATTGGTCCATTTGTAGTACTTCATTTGCATGGAGCTCACTCCTGATTGGCCTATTTCTACAAAGCTTGTTCCTGGTTGGTCAACTTCTGTTATACTTTATTTGCATACGATGTTGCAAAGGGTAAAAGTGGCAGCCTATAAAGGCCTGTGTAACCATACAGATGGGGTCAAGAGCCTGAAGTGTTGATTCTTTTGTGCCTGCTGGCGTAATAAACCTGAATTCTCCAACTCTCCCAGTCCTGGTCTCTTGCTGGATGCAGGTTGCTGTCACAACTGAGCTGTAACACATTTTTCCGCAACAGTACAACAGTGGGAAAAGCTGTCTAGAAAGGCCTGAAGGCAGCGAGGGGTGAGGGAAAGCACAGAATCTGGCCCCGTCTCAGCCCTTGACCTCCTGCTCTAACACAATTCCAAGTTCAAATTCAGCCTTTCAGCTCATGTCCTCTCTCTTTCTCTCTCTCATTTCACGGCTGCAACTAGGCAAGTCAGCAGCTCCAAGGCAGACAGGCTGCTCCAGATGAGAAGGAAAAATCTGGAAGGGATTCCTCTCCCCGTGCTCAGCCTGAGCTGCACCTCCCTCTCAAGTTCAACTCCCCATCCAGCAGAAAATCATCCTACAGTATTTTAAGATTCCCCAGACTGTTCTTTCATTAAAAGCTCTTATGTTCCGAGTTAAGTACATGTATTATTTTGATTTTAATTTTAAAAAATACCTAAACATTATCAAATAAACAATAAGCAAAACAATGGGAGGGGAGGGGCGGGGCGGGGCGGGGCTGCCAAAATGCTCAGCAGCCGATCACATGGTCCCCCATCCTTCCCAGCTCCCTGCAACGTGAGCCTGGAGGTGTGGGTGTCCCTTGAACAACCACCGCGAGGCTCGTGCCAGCTGCTTTTTTTCAAATCAGGAAATGCTGGAAAATGTCTCCTCTACACAGAGGTGAATGTTCTAGACCAGCAGAAACCAGAATACCACATGCCAGCAGAAAAACAGGCGGGAAAGGGGACACAAAACCCCAGCAGTGGTGAGAAATTTTTTAAAATTTATACTTCACCTTTTTCCATTAAAGTTGGGAATTACAAAAATATTTTGCAGCATTCATTGTGAGCAGTGATATCTTTTTTGCTCTGCCTCCTTAGCAATTTCTGTTCGAATCTTAAATGCATATGTGCAGACTTACGGTTACCCGGGAGTCAAGGGGGTGGGAAGGGATAAATTGGGAGTTTAAAATTTCCACCTCTTGGGAAGCGATGGAAATGTTAGGTATCTTGGTTGTGGTGGTGGTTTCATAGGTGTATACATCTATTAAAATTCGTCAAGTTGTACATCTGAAATATGTGTACTTTACAGAAATTATATAATAAAGTTGTTTAAAAATTTGCCCAGGAAAAATACTAAAATAAAAAATAAATGCATTATATCCTTTGACCCAGTATATTACCTACCTATCCCCCAAACATTCCCTTCCTTCTTCCTAACAGAACCTTGAAATTTACAGCCATGTGGGCACCTCCCTCAGCTTCAGGGATGATGCAAGGTTCCTCTAAGATGGTCACTTTCCCATTGGTGTTGGCAGACACTTTCTTTCCACGCCTCCCTTGCAGCAAGAGTTCTGGCCATTGCAATGACAAGGGAAGTGTGTGGAGGGTGGGTTTCTGGGGAAGACAGCCTTCATCATTAAACGGAGAGCACATTTGGGGTCAAGGTCTTTTCGCCACTGTGCTCTTCACACACCCTCTTCCTGCTGTGACATCAAGAGGAACCTTCTCACACCTGTGAGGTGACCAGCACAAGGACAAAAGCCAGCACACTGGCTTTTGCACACTGAGGATGGTGAAGGAAGGAATGAGTCTGGCCTTGAGTGTTGTGGTTGAGCTGCTGAACCAGCCTCACTGCCTCTCCAGACTCAGACATGAGAAAATTAAATGTCTCTGTTGGCTACGCCACTGTCAGTTGGGTTTTCAATGAATTGCACAGCAACAAATTCCTCATGGGCTAGACTTGGGAATTACATTCATTTTTCATTTACTCAACCAATATTTACTGAGAGCCTGGCTTTTTGCCAGGCTCTATTTAAGAAACTAGAATTCTACTACTAAGACTTTACCCAGATTTACCTGCAAAAGTAGGCCAAGATTTTTACATGTTCAAGGATATTAATGCCCAACAAGAGATAACTAGTTGGTTATTTTCATCGAGTTCTATTAAAAGAAAGTATGTGATGACATAAAAGAGCTCCAAGACAGAATATGATCCATTTTGTATACATAAAAAAATACAATTTTTAAAAATTATCTTGGTCTCGAGAGCCAAAAGACATCCCCTCCTTATAGCAAAGCTACCTGGAGAGGACAAACCACCTATCTTGGAGCCAAGGGCTGGCCCCTCAAGGAAGATGGCCCAGGGTGGGAACATCCAAGAGACTACCAAAAAAAACACAAAAACTAGCCCAGTTCCATCCCCAGCCCACATTCTCCAACAAAAGAAAGGTCAGCAGGTCTCAAAAGAGGCCTGACTATCCCACTCCTGGAGCCTGAACTAGACATCTGTGGCAAGTCACCCTGGGTTTGGCTTCCACCCATCTCCTCTCTGGCCACACCCAACCAGCCCATTTTCGATGTTCTCAGGTCCCCTCTCCTTCCTAAAGAAGTCAGTCCCATAATCCCACAGCCATGGTCAGAACCCCTTACTCTCTTTCCTCGTCTTAGCCTTCCAACAGCACAGACCAGGGGGTCAGCACCAGCCTTTATTAGGGAAAAGAAGCACCACACCCCCAGTGCCCAAGCCCAGGGCTGTGTTTCCCATGCTCAGAGCAGCGGCAGGAACAGAAGCAGAGCAGAGAGGGCAGTGAAAGCCCCTGGGAGGGTCACAAGCCCCAGGACAGCATCCTCTCCTGGCTGGCAGGACAAGCTCCCTGGAGTCACCAAAGAAGCTCAGGACATATCAGGACAGCGAGGGCCCTGGGATCTCTGCAAGAAGAAGAAACATCAAGTCACACTGTGCCCTCCTGGCTCCAGCTCCCCAACATGGTTTTTTTCCCCTTCCACCCTGGAGAAGTTTGCCATATACTGATCTCATGGCCTTAAATGGCTCCCTGCTTCTTAGATAATCCAGTCCAAACTGGCATGGAAGATTCTTATCATTCAGTTATCAACCTTCTATTTCCTGTTATAAAAACAGCCTGTCTGTTCCCTTACCCACTCTCACACCACCCCCGTCCCAGCTCCCCAAGCATGTCACACACCTTCCACCCTCTGTGCCTTTGCTAACAGCCACCAGACCATCTGCCCAGCAGGTTCTCTCTGCTCTCCTCCCTTTGTCACATCCTGCCTAGCCTTTAGGGTCCAGGTCAAATCCTACTTCTAGCAGAAGGATCTTCCCAAGAAGCTACACTTACTCCGAAAGCCCGGACTGTCTATACAAGGATTCTGATCTGTGACATCTGATCTTTCTTCTCTCCAGGGCACAGACTTTGCCTTGACCTTCCGGAGTCCCCACCTAGCACCTAAGCCAGGGCTTTGTACACAGCAGTTAAGTCCATTGTTACAGGTAACGATGGACTGTGCTCACCTAATTCAGAATCAGACCGGATGGTCCAGTTGGGGTTCAGGGCCAGTTGGGGTGGCAGGACTGGCGGGACACAGAAGCGGCCACAGCCTGACTTGCAGCACTTCTCCCCAGCTTGGCAGTTCTCATCCACCCTGCAGCTGACAATACACAGGCCCACCAAGATGTTTGGACAGTCGCCACCCCGCCCTGCAGGGTAAACAGGCACAGGTATAGAGACAGGACGGTCAGCTCCAATGACTCCAGGTTCCCATCTGGAACTTAGACAGGGAGGCTCCAGATGAATCAACCCTTGACTTTAGATCTCAACCAAAGATCTGGCTGGGAAACCTTGAAACTGGAAGATTTAAGCACCTGTAGGACCCCAAGAGGACATGTGGGCTAACGGTTTCCAAACTCCACAGGGAGTTCCCTAGAGATACCTAGGAGTTTGATACCTCTGTGAGTTTGGGGATGGGACTGGGTGGGGTGAAGAAGGAGCAAGGCTCCCAGACCACCACCCTCTCCCCATATGCTTGGGTTTCCTGCTACCCCACACAGCTCTCCCCTAGTTCTTTTAATGCCAACACAGGGCCCCTTGGCCCTAGGAAGAGGTTTGCTTTGGATTAGGGGGCTGGGAGGGCAGGAAGAGTGAGAACTCTGATTCCTCCCAGGAAGAGAAGGCCACAGATGGCTCCCTCCCAAACCAACTCTGGGACCCAGGGAGCACTCAAGGATGTCCTCCTCAAACAGCTTGACATACCTCCCTTAATGTCACCACGGCAGGCGTGGCCACAGCCGGTGCTGCAGCATTTATGCCCCTGGGGACAGGATGCGTCTCCATCACACAGCTCTTCACACGGAAGTGGGTCAGCAGGACATTCACCTTCAAACTCTGCGACAGAATCAGTGCACTGGGGTCCAGAGGTGCTCAAGCCCAGTGCTTCCAGTTATTTCTATTGGGACTCCAAGTACAAAATACATTTCCCATTGCTTCCTATGTGTATTTAATATACACTTAGGTTTAAAAGGTACATATTTATGTACATATGTATATGCAATGCTGATACTTTATATTCTATTTTTTTCTTTTTTTAATGCTGGCCATAATTTTATTTACTTTACTAAATTGATTTCCAGACTCACAGTTTAAAAAGTATCTTTGAGATCCAATCCATTGCAGCAAACATACTAGTTGCCACCCCCATATTCATCCTCCCTCCTTGCTTACTGTAGTGGACATCAACACTGGTGGCTGCTGGAATTCACGCCCTGGGGTGGCCCCTGCCCATACTGTCTCTGGGCTTGACTGTGTGACTTGTCTTGACCAACAGGATATCAGCAAGTGTGATGCAAGCAGAGGCTTGATCAACACTTGCTTACCAGGGCTTGTCCTCTTAGAACACTCCCTCTTGGAAACCAGCCGCCATGCTGGAAAGCAGCTTGGGCTGGGCTGCGAAATGATGAGATGCCCCCTGGAGAGAGAACCTGGAGGAGGAGAGGCCATCCTGGACATCCCAGCTACAGTGGAGCTCACCACTGAGCTCCCAGCAGCAGGAGGGAACTCAGCTGTGCCACTGGGTATGAGAACTGCCCGGCTAAGCCTAGCCAACCCACACACTGTGAGAAAGAATGAACTGTTGTTCTGTCAAGCCACTAAGTTTTGGAATGGTTCGTCATGTGGCAAAAAGATAACTGAAACACTTGTTAACAGAACCTCAGGCTTGTTCTGAGAGGCAATGAGCTCAGCTTGCTAAAGTGACTTGTGTCCCTCATATTCCCTTATAACTAGGGAACTAGGACATAAATTGGGGAAACTTATGCATTGTTGAGTCAGGGAATACACCTGCCAAACTGCCCCCTTGCTTCTTTCTTCTTCCAGTCCCAAGACAGACATATCAAAGGGCATCAGAGCAGCCTTCTTTCAAGCAGGAGGCAACTAGTATGAGGACAAAGTCAAGAACTGCAAAGCAGAAAGAAAAATAGCCTCACTGTGGATCCACCACACCACCCCTGGTGCCTCCATCAGGACTTCTTCTTATGTGAGAAAGAAGAACCCCTGTTTAGTTCACTTTCTGCTACAGGTAGCTGAACACATTCTTGATGTGCCCCTTGTGGCCCCCACGAAGATAATGAAACTCAGAGAAGAAAAGGGGTTGGCCCAGAACTGCCGAGTGAGTCAGCAGCGAAGCCGGACAAAATTTAACCTCTTGGTTTGCAATGAAGCACTGTTTCTACTACACCATCCTTAAAACACGTGGGCGACAGGCCAGGTCCGAGGGAGCAGGCACATCCAAGAAGTCATAACCAAACCAACCCAGTCACCGTGACTCATTCCTCACAGTGTTTATGTCAAATTTTTTAAATGGAAGGGGTAATGACAGGCAATTAAAGGCTTTGTAGAAAACCAAAGCGGGACTGGCCCAGTGCCTCTGAGAAGGAACATCCAATTGTACACAGCTGGCTCCGGGCAGTCTGCCGTGATGGAAAAAACAAGTATTGGACTCCAAGGAGAACACACACAGCTAAACAATCAAAGTACAATAACCTGGGGGGAGGGTATAGCTCAAGTGATAGAGCACATGCTTAGCATGCACGAGGTCCTGGGTTCAATCCCCAGTACCTCCCCTAAAAATAATTACCTAATTACCTCCTCCCCCAAAATAAAAAAAAATTAAAATATAATAATAAATAAACAAAATATTTTTTCAAAAAAAAAGGTACAATAACCTGGCATCCTAGGATTTCCCTGAACAGCCCCTACTACAAATATTTTATGCCCCTGTCTAAACTACGTGTCTTGATTTTTTTTTTTAATTCAGAAAATATGGTCCCTGTAACCACCAGATGTACCACCCTGCACCTCCCCACCTGCTTGACAAACACTCAAATCCATCTAACAAAGAACAAAGCCTTTTATTCCACCGTTGAGAAGGCTGGGCATTAAAAACAAAATCTCCCCGGTAGGGGGAAAATAACCAGCCACATAAACCTCTCATGGAGTTCTACCTTGCACCCTAAAAGTGGAGGCCTAGAGTACCACACTTCCCAAATTCCACCATTTTGCTGGGTCTGACTCTGACATAAGCAATGCCAGGAGCACTCTGCTACCTTTGCCCCCAGAACCAGGCATAGAGACCAAAGGCCGAGCTTTCTTGAAGTTCCCGGGGTTCTGTCAAGTATCAGAAGCAATGATGGGACCCTTGGAGGAGAGGCTAATGCCCTGAGGGTCACAGCACATCTCATCTGACCAGTGCCCAGGAGGGCCACACAGTCCGACACCCTGTCAGATGCTTGAACCCCTGCCAAACCATCCCCAATCCTCAGCCTGAACATCTGGAATTGATGTTGCCTCACTGCCTCTAAGCCAGACTACGCCATCCTTACCCTTAAGCTAAACAGCCTTACGTGTAAGGAAGTCCTTCTTTATACTCAACTGAAATCTGCTTCTATCCATTGGTCCTTTTCCTATCCCCAGGGCCCTTGTAAATATGTGGCCCGAGTCATCCCTTTAGGCAGGATCCTCTGCCCTTCACTGTCTTGGCTTTGCCAGGCTAAGTAAGCTCAGTTCCTCATATCACGTGGCTTCCAGTCATCTCAGTTATCTCAGCAGGAATCAGGATGAGAAATAGGAATAAGGGCCAGAATGGAGATGGTCATCCTTAGCCTCCAGACATGCGCCCATCCCAAGACTCCGAGCTACCAAGGAAAAAGTGGAATAAAAAACCCGAAGCCTAGGAAATACTCACATAGAGTCCTTACTGTTTGCCCAGCTCAACTCTCCACTATATCTGAGGGGAAGACACCAGCTGCTGGCAGAAGAGTGAAATTTCAAACTTCTTACACCACGAAGGGCCCTCTGAGCCCTGAAGCGGGCCCTCATCAGACACCGATTCTGTGGCACCCTGAGCTCGGACGTCCCAGCCTCCAGAACTGGGAGAAATGAGTTTCTGTGGTTTAGAAGCCAACCAAGCCTAGTATTCTGTTATCGCAGCCCAAGTGGACAGATACTGCATTATCACTCTACAAGATAAACATCCTTATTTCCATTTTAGGGATGACAAAAATGAGGTTCAGAGAAAGGAAAGGGCCTGCCCAAGGCCACATAGCAAGCCAACAAAGGAGCCGGGATTCAGTCCCCAACTCAGACCAGAACTGCCTCAGGGGAGCAGGTCCCAGTGTCTGCTCTGTGCCCTTGAGAAACTGACCAAACAGACCAGGACAGGTGATGGTAAACCTCTGGCAAATCAGAGCTTCAGGAAAGCGGAAATTGCTCATAGCCCGGGAAGGAGAGCTTCCTCTGCAGAAGGTGGAGCGGCCAGTCCCATGGGGTAAGTGGCCCAGCCTTCCTCTAGGACTGGAACTGCAGAAAAGTGGTTAACTCATAGCACAGCAGCCAATATCACTTCCCACCAGACTAGGGACCCTACTCAGCTAGTGGGCTCTGGGAGACATGCAGGGAGATCACTATTCCAGCCTGCCTAGCTCCAAGGAAAGGGGAAGCCCCATCTGGGCTGGCCAGGGCCCAGAGCAGCTCACAAAGGTGCCTTGCCTGGCTGCCAGCCTCACCCTCAGCCCCTGCAATTCAGCCACTGCCTTCAAACACTGGGAAGATTGTACCAGGCCCTACAAGCTGAGAGTGAGTGACCCGCGTGAGACAGATTCCCAGGCTCTGGTTCCAAAGTGGGGCCTCAAGAGTCCTGGCACAGACTACAATCCTCTATTCTCTTTTATGGGCAGGTTGCCCAAGGGAGCTGCCTAGGCGAGGCACAGACAGCCTCACTGGGTACAGGGAAGGGGCCGGCTACCTGGGCAGGTTTGGCTGGAAGGAGAAGGTTATCATGTGCCGTGGAGTTTCAGGATCTCAGAGAGGAAGCGACCAGGGGAGGAAGAAACAATCTTGGTCCTCGATAAAAAAGGGGGCTGGTTAGAAATTACTCCTGACGAAGCCCACCCTAGGAGGCCAGGGGAGAGGAGCAAATGTACTCTCAGGGCCAAACACTGTACCTACTTTGAGTCATTACAACAGCCTCCAAGGTTTATTCTTTCTACTTTGCAGACAAAGTAACTGAGGCTCAGAGAAGCAGAAGAAACTTGACCAGGGACCCACAGGCCAGTAACTGGTGAGCCTCAGGCCTGAACCCAGGTCTCTGACAATCAAACCTAGGCTCTCCCCCTGTAACATGTTGCCACATGCACTCAGATGAGAGAATGGTTCCACTTCCTTTAGGAAATGGAATGGAAGAAAGAATGTAAGGCCCCGTTTAATTATTTACAAAACAGACTCACAGACGTAGAAAATAAACTTACAGTTACCAAGGGCAAAGGGGGTGGGAAGGGATAAATTGGAGGTTTGAGATTTGCAGATACTAACTACTGTATATAAAATAGATAAACAACAGGTTTCTACTATACAGGGAACTATATTTAATATTTTATAGTAACCTATAATGAAAAAGAATATGAAAAGGAATATAGGCATGTGTATGACTGAAACATTATGCTGTACACCAGAAAATGACACATTGTAAACTGACTATATTTCAATTAAAAATAAACAAACAAAAAAAAAGAAAAACAGATCCCATTTAAGATAACAAAGAAAAAACTAAAATAACCCAAGTATTAACTTATCAAGAAATAATTTAATAGTATAAAACACCCTGAAATACACCAAATACCCTTGAACAATGGGAAGATATAAAGGTTCCACACGTTAAAAATGTCAGTTCTCCTTTAACTTAATTTATACATCCAACACGCTCCAATAAAAGTAGCCTCAGTATTGGAGGGGCAGGCGCACAACATGATACTAAAATATATTTGGAAACACAAACAAGCAAAAGTAGCCATGAAAATTCTGAAACAAAAGAAAAATGAGTACCTTTGGGGGCCTCTCACAGGGACGAGGGAGGAGGCAAGGAATCAAGCACAAAGTTCTGCCATTTTTACCTCCGAATTCTCAACTGTGCCACGTTTTCTCCCTCCCTATCGCCACCTCCCTAGTCTAACTGGACTCCTGCCTCGCCTGGACTCATTCTCTGCCTCTCCTGGACTCATTCTCTTCCTCCCTATCTCTACTCTAACCATACTGGCTTTCTTGCTGTTTCCCAAACATGGTAAAACTCCTTCTCATCTTAAGCCTTTTGCATTTGCTTCCCCCTTTTCCTGGAATGTTCACCACACCTTTTGCCTGGCTGACCTCAACACCAGGTTGCAGGGTAAATGTCACTACCTCAGATAGGCCTTCCGTGACCACCCAAATCTAAAGCAAGTCCCCCGTTACCCTATCTCTCAGCATCCTTTAATTCTTGCTTGTGTCCCTATCATATTTGAAATTACATATTTATCTGCATGCTTATTGGTTAAACCTCTTTCTCTCCCACTAGACTGGCGCTCCATGAAGATCAGGATGGGATCCACTTTGTTCACTGCAATATACCCAGAGTCCATCGCTGAATTTGGCAAAGAGTCAACATTCAGTAAGTATTTGTTGAAGAAAGTATATATAAATGGAGAATTTGGTCATGGGGACCTTATAAGAGGGAGAAGAAATCTCTATCAAATACTTCTCTACCAGAACCAGAATAAAATAGGACACATTTCCAACAGAAGATGGCTGTCCTATGTGTGGACAGAGGGAACACAGTCTCAGAGCAGATGAGTAGGAAGAATCTATTTTGCTATCTCTTTGCAGACCCTCGAGCTAAGACCAGAATAGAGAACACTGGAACAGATGATGGGAATTGGGAATTATCCAACAGCTCTCAAATTGCCAGCCTAGACCATAGATCACAAATCATTACAGCTTGGGTACCCCTTTTATACCTTTTTTTTTTTTTAAGAAAAGTTCTCAGAATATGGCAGTCACTTAATTATTGTTTTTCGAAGTAAAGTAAGACCAACAGTAAGATGGTGCGTGCATCAGTGAGAAAGAAACAAGCAGGGCAAACAGAGTGTGGGGTACGGGGGGAGGTTCTTACCCAGCTTCTGTTTAGGGATTGGGATGACGCAGATCCTGCTGCAGCCAAATGCACAGCATTTCTTTACACCTGGACACATCTCATCAGTGACGCACCTTTTAACACAGGATTGTTTCTGAGCAACCCTGGGACAGTCTCCTTTCCTCCCTGCAGCAAAAAGGGAAACAGCCACAAAAAAAAGAGGTAAGGGTGCCTGGTGACACTCATAGGCCTGGCAAAGGGGAAAAATCGGAGGAAGGAAGCCCTAGGCTCCATTTAAGACTCTGGATCCTGGTTCTAAAGCCAAGAGACAACAACCACCACAATGGTAACATCTCACACTTACAGCAATTCACGGACGTTTCCCTTGTACCGGGAACCTTTTGTTTGGTCCTCACAACAAACCTATGAGGTACAAACAATGATCCTCATTTTAAAAGCATAACACTTAAAAAGAGCCACTTGAGGCTGATTTCAGGCTCAAAAAGGTCTATCTGGCTCTAAGATCTACTCTTCTCATCACTCCCTGAAACGGGCTTCCCTTTACAACTTTGCCCTCCAGCCTTTCACAGTAACCCTGAGTTCAGAAGTAAAAGACACAGATAATCAATGGTGAGTCCTTTCCTGCTAGAAGGCAAAGAACTGAGGACACAACACAGTGATTAAGGGAGCAGAGACCCCCAAAGGGGAAAGAAGAGGTGCTCTAGGTGAGCTATTTCAGGAGCCAACCCAGGAGACAGGAAGCTCACTGTGTGTAGCTAATCTATAGGCCAGATCAGAAGGCACACTTGGATTTTGCCCACTCAAGCCAACGTACCCTCAGGGATGCCTCCTTGGCAGAGCTGACCACAGCCTGTGCTACAGCACTTCTGCCCGGCCGGACAGGATTCATCCCCCTGGCACAGCTCTTTGCATGGGTTCTTATCCGGAGGGCATTCTCCTTCTTTCACTGCAAAAGATATCATGAAAGGTTAGGGTAACTGGCAAGGCTTCGAGAGATGGGGAATGGAAGTCAAATGCACTTTGACTCCAACATTCCTATCTATAATATTTCTGCAACCACTTTTCCCTCCTCCCACACAAGTCCTAACAGGCACCCAGCACCATTAAAGGACCAACCATTCTGCAGATACAGGCAGAAAGGATGGGGTGATCCTGTTCTCACCCATAGTGAGAGCCCTAGGGAAAAACCAGAACCTCTAGTAAGCCAGAGTGGAAGTCCTGTCTCCTTATCCAGAGAAGATAAAGAAAGCCAGGAAGACCTATCCTGACTGCCCTGAGAATCTATGCATCCAGTTCTGTCCTACAGAGAACATCTCCCTACATGAAGATCCTCACTCTGGGAGGAGGGAAGGGATGACTTCTGCTCAAGTCATTTTCTGTCACTGTTAGCCAGGGATCCCAAATGATAGCTCACCATGCTCTCCTGCTGCCCAGAATGCCAGGGACCCAAGAGCAAGAAATGCCTTCAGGAGGAAGAGGCAGCTCAACATGGTGATGATGCTGAGAGTTGAGATGAGAATTCAGTTCAGGTCAGACATGTACATCTTGCCCAGAGTATCAAGCAAGGGAATGGAAAGGCTAAGCTTCAATCCAGCCTTAAAGTCTTCCCTTTCACAATAGTCCCAAGGATGGCTTCTTCTGACAAGAAGAAAAGTGATTGGTTGCTGGTGTGTGGGAAAATTCCTGGCACTACCAAGAGACACATGTGATGGAAATGATCAGACTCTGTAATATACACAACACCCCTGGACAAAGATAAGGAATCTAGTGGGAGGCTGGGAAAATGGGGGGATGGGCATCAGATAAAGGATCAAAGAGAGCCCTAAAGGGATTTGTAAGGACACAGGTACAGCTAAAACGACAGAGGGAAGGACTAGAGATATGACTAAAGAAAACAGCCAAAGATAATAAAACGCACTGTGGCCCCTGTCCATCCTAGCAACCTAGAAGAGAGAAGATGGAACAGACTACTTAGAAACTATCCAAAAACTACAGAAAGGCAGTATTTGAGTTTGTTCAGAACTAATACGAATGTACCAAAAACCTACACCTTGGTTCCTCTAGCCCACACAGGTCATTCTTGGACTGTATGAAGGCTAGTTGACAAAACCCAAAAGAATAGCGGCTATGACTCAAGTAGTAATGTAGACCATATGTACTCCCTTTCTTTATCGCTTACTCCCTTTCTTTATCGCTTCCTCCTACATTTCTTTTAATTTTTCTTTATCTGTCCTGCATATGACTTCGGTCAGCCATGATACCAAATAGTGTCCACTGGCATTGCTTTGCCTAATGAGGTTAGAGAGCAGGGGACATTCAAGACTCAGGGTAAAAAACCTCCTTAACAGGGCCAAAGAGTTTGGTCCCAGGAAGTTGTCTTATTGTTTTAAGGCTGATATTGGAGCATAGAGATAATTAACATTTCTTGATGACCTAATATGTGCTTTATGTACATTATTTATTCTATTCTGCATAATAATCTTCCAGAAGTAAGAAAACTGGTTCAGAAGGGAAAGTGCCTGAGGTCTTTAAGCTAGTAAGTAGTGGCTGTTGGAATTTAATAATAGTAAATGAGACATAGCACTGTTTGGAGGTTGACTTGTGCCGCAGTTCTAAGTACTTTACATGAATTAACTCACTTAATCCTCACTGCACCCTATGAGTTAGGTACTGTTATCCCCATTCCATTGATAGGGAAACTGAGGCACAGAAGGAAAAGTGGATCACACAGCTAATGAGTGGTAGAACAAAGATAGGCAGCCCAATCTGATAGTCAATGGTCTTAATCGCCATATCACATTGGATTTGAACTCATCTTTCTAACTGCAAAATTCATGCACTTTCTACTACTCCCAATTGTGACCTGATAAAAGTAGCTTTCTCTACCATCAATAAGTCGGATCCAATTCTATTCACGGACGTCTTACCTCTACCGCAGAGCTAAAGGGGTTCTGGGGAACTCCACAGCTGTTAAACCCCTGCATTCTCAGCCCATCCCAGAATCACCCGTCTGGGGAATGAAACTCAGCTCCCTGAGGATTGAGGGGGTACATGGTCCAAGTTTCAACCTTCATTCTAATGTCTTCAGACGCCAAGAGGCAACTGCTGGGGTCAAGGCCTGGAGAGACCGGTGGGTGAGTGTTTGGGATGGCATGGGCCAGACCTCCTCTTGTTGGGTTTCCGGGTCCCCGCGTTACGCCCATCCAATTCCGGGGCCTGAGTGCCAGGCATATTAAAATCTCGTTTTCAAAGACAAATGCAGGCGCCACGGTACGAAACGCTGCCCTCTGTTCCCCAACCCCAGCCGGTGGAAACCTGCTCTCCTCCTCCTGCCCCGCGCTTCTCCACGGGCAGCCGGGCCAGAGAACACTTCTTGACTGAACACCCAACAGTCCACACCCGAGGCGCGGCCGCTCCCGGGAGACAGCCCGGCCACCTAGACATTCAAGGCTTTTAAGCGTCTGGGACAAGGCGAGGCGCGGCGGTTGGGTTCCCCTGGTAACCCAGCTGCTCGCCGCATCGCGCTTCCGGGGC